TCTCGATTTTAGGAAAAATACAAATAATATAATTTTAAATTATAGTCCATCGGTTCCTAAATAATAACGGTTTTGTAGATTTAAACAAGAAGTAAGAATTTCAATAAATGTTTATCAATTTCAGGAAAAATACATTAAAAAACTAAAATAACATTCATTAATTAATTACATGATCGAGAAAATCAATATTATAGTTGAATAAATATGGATAAAACAGGGGAAAAAAAACGAATTTAGTATGATATTGGAATTCTAAAACAACAGATAATATTAACCACAAATATTTTCTAAAACCACAGTTATCTTGAAACGGGGGGAGTAATCTGAAACAAAAATTGAATCGGACATCAAAATTCAATATTCAAGTTTAATATTTTTGAATCGAAATCGACAAAATCTGATAATTGAGTTACTTGTCTATATAAGGCTAGTCATAATGTGAAACAACAGTATTTCTCTAAAGTAACGGTTAATTGGAATTGATGGAGTAATCTTAAACTAAAATTGAATCGAACATCAAAATTCAGTATTCGATTTTAATATTTGCGGATCGACATCGACAAAATGCGATAATTGAGTTACACATCTACAAATATAAGTCTAGTCATAGTGATAATGATAATACCTATAAGGGGGTGTTTGGATCAAGAGAAAAAAGAAAGAAAAAGAAAAGTCATAGTCAAATATCAAATCAAGAAATCCAAAAGATAAAACTGTAAACCTCCAAATTGTCTCCTACAAGGAGGTCTAGTCTTCTGGCCAAAGGAAACTATGAGGCTTTATTATTATTATTATTATTATTTTCTTTTTTTTTTTTTTCTTCTTTTTTCCTTTTATCGATGGCCTATGTGTATATCTGCCTTATTGTCTTGCCTCAATTGTTTCCTTCTTTTTTGTTTTTTATTTTATTTTTAATTTTTAAAAAAATAAAAGAAAATAATAAGTTATAGCATGCTGCAAAGGTGTGGAATAATGAGCTTTCTTTTTAGCAACAACCTATAATTCAAATCTTCAATTAATTGATCTAAAAGAAAAAAAAATAAAGATCATCATACTATAGATACGTTGAGTCTTTGTGAATCTTTAATAATTTTGGAATCTAATTTTGAAGTACCAAAGAATCTTGCTTTGGGGCTTTCAAAGTTAAGTAATAATTTATGGATTCTAAATATAACCATAAGATCCATATATATACACACACACACACACATAACGGAAGTCAGTGCGGGGCTGAGGGGGCCATGGCCTCCCGACAAATTTATCAGCCCTGTATTGTAACTTCGCAATAAGGAAATGCAAAATTGGCATTCAACAATTTTTTTTGTGTACAAAATAAAATCAAGTTATTCGATACTCGATTAGACATTGTTTGTTAAAAGCTCGTTTAAGCTGAATTTGTCAGCATAAAGCACTACAAGAAAAATGACTTTTAACATCATCCCTTTAACAACGTTCAGTAAAGGCGTGTTGTGCTACCACGTATTTGACAACATGCTATTATTGTGTATTGTTGTTTGTGTCCGGCAATTTTATTTTACAACACTCGTATTTTGCGCCTTGTTATATATTTATACCACAACATGCGGATACATCTTGTAACTATGTCGTTTGAAAAGGTTATACGATAACACTCCGCTGCGTGTGGTAAAATATTGTTGCATACACCAAGCCTCTCAGTGTGTGGTAAATAAGGTCACCTATAACAACATACACAGAATGTTGTTGTATGATATCAAGAAAATTAAATCTGTGCGAAATTATGTTTCCTTCTTTACAGCTATTTTTTTTGTGATGTTTGGTATATTCTCTCATTCTTCTCAAGTCGTTTACATTAATGGTTGAAGAGAAATAAAATTTTGAAGTGAATCTATCTATTCTATCTAAATTTTCTTAAGTGTTGTTATGAATAGTATCACATCTACTATTATTATATATTTATTATTTTATTTATGTTGTTAATCAGAATATATAATTATTTATGCATTTTATTCTTTACACACTTAGAAGAACTATTTATTATTAAATATTAAAAAGCAATCAAGCCCTATACCACTCTCCCCCCTCGCTTCACTCTCGTTAATCCCCAATTCATCTGCCTTTTTTTTTTTTTTTTTGATAAAATCCTTACTTCGTCAATTTCTTTCTCCTTTTACTCTTCTTTCTTCGGTAAATACCTACCACAATTCACATAAATACCCACCACGATTCACAGTGTCGGGTTTTTCATCGTTTTCGAATTTCCTGCAACTTCCGGATTTGCTCGTTTTTTTCGGGTTTTCACAGTTCCAGCATCTCAGCCGGTTCATAATTTTGTGACCCGGGTTTTTTATTTCCCTCCTACTTTTTATTTTGTCTCCTCATTTTTCTGCTTAGTTTTTTCTTTTGCCCTAATTTTCCTATTCTTGACCTTGTTTTCATTGTCGTGCCATTCTATCTTTCTTGTCGATTTTTTTTAAGAAATCCTTATCTCGTTACTAGAATGAAAATATCTCTTCTATGAGGATTCTCTCTCCCATCGTGACGGGTTTTGATTTGCAGATTCCAAGAAGTTTTCAAGCAATATCTATTTACGGCAACATATTTTGAAATAGGTAAATTATTCACAGTATTTTACTTTTTTGATTTAATGGAGATGGTTCGTTATTGAATTGAGATGCTAGGTGTAGAAAACAGGGAAAGTAAGTTGTTGTTGTTTTCGATTTCCCCTAAATTGAGTGGTTATTTTATCTTCCCCAAATGTAGTTTAGTTTTGCATATTGTTTTTCAAAATAGAGATGCTTGTTATTTAATTGAGATGACAAGTGCATAATTTGCGACTCTCTTTTGTAGGCTGTAAGGGCAGCATAGATCTAATTTACAAGAAAGATGTCTCGCATTGAAGTAAGTTGCTCTATGTTCTTTATCTTTCTTATAGAAAGTTTCTTGGATGTCTATTAATATCTTCTTCTATGTTATTGTGTGGTGTAGAAATCTAAGAGGAATGGAAAAGGAGTACAAAAAAAGCATACTCTTCGTGATGATTATGATGACACTGAATATGAGGACACTCGAGTAGATAGAGCTGGTGCCGCCCGACCACAAGTACTGTCGCAGGAGGTGAATGACGTCGTTACACATTCCATGGAACGTGCAAAGAACACTCAATTTGCACAAGAAAAGAACAAGAAAAAACGTGATCCAACGACAATGAATTTGTTCACCAGAGGGCCGGGGCAAATGATGCAAGTGAGTTTTAATACACTTGGACAACCCATTGGTACAAATTCGAAAAAGCTTGTGTCTTATCTTGGTGTGATAGCACGTCAGCATATCCCTATTGTCATACAATGGAAGAATATTCATGAGGAGAATTGGAAAACCTTGAAGGATGATCTATGGGTTCTGGTTAAGGTAATCATATATAATAAATTTTCAATAGGTTGAGTATTATATAATTAGATGTTTCATTAATTTTTT